TATTTTCTCACTAATTTTACCTCTGAAAACAACTGACCCCACCCCCTTCATTCGCAAATATCTCGACTTGTATTCAAGATAAAAGGATATTTTTCCCACCCAAATAAAGACAAATGAACAAGCTTTAAGTTGATATCAGTAACTATACATGCCCAAAAATTGACGAGAGCCTGATTCCACCACGCTGCCTCACATTTAATTTAGCTGAATTCATGATAACGTTCCTCCCCACTCTGGAAACGAACTCAACTCATACGAGAAACAAAATAATATGTCATTTAGGGCAGCAACTGGTTTGTAGCTTCAGAAGGGACAGATCGAGAATATTATTGTCATTGGAAATTATCTAGCTTTAACACCATTAATGTTTAAAATTACTGTTCATTTATATTATGTATGTGACTGAGCCTGTTTGTAAGTGCAAGCATACTATTGTATTACTATGGTTATGTGAGCAGATGTGTGTGGAAGAGAGAATGTGCGAGAGAGTGCGTGTGTATAATAATATGGGTGTGCACATTCGCGTGTGTATGCATGTGTGTGCATGTGTGCGTGTGTGTGTGTGCGTGTGTGTGTGTGTGTGTGTGTGTGAGAGAGAGAGAGTGTATGTGTGTGTATATGTGCATTTGTATGCCCTTGTGTTTGTGAGGGTGTGTACGTGGTGAAACACCAAACAAAAGTGACAGGATCTGGACAATATAAATGTGTCATATCTTATCTTATATTTTTTTCTGTCTGTGGACGTCAGGGCATCTACTTTCCGAGAAGATTCAATAATAGCAAAGCATTTACCTCTTTATAGAAGCATTACGACTTTAACGAAGTTATTTCAAAGATATTCTAGAGACAACATTTCACAACTTGTAAAGACACTGCCATGTGGCCTGGAAACAGCCTGTTACTTGATCTCGCTTGAACCGACTGTCTTTTCATACTAATGATATAATTATGGTCCTTTATGTCATGGAGGTTGATGTAAGTTGTGAGACATTTTTCCACAAAGGGAGTTGAAATAGAATATTGATCCTTAATAGCAAATAAAGGCTAAGGGAAAGACAAGTATTAGTAATCTGACCAATTTGTAAAATGTTACTTCAGGGTTTCACCCTAGCTGTGCTAACATATTATACTTTTGTTTTTCCCCTCATCATTAAGCATACGAATTCTGGTGAAATTTAAGTTTTCTCA